GAGCCATCTCTCCAGCCTTCTGCCCAGTCCTCAATCTTACATAATCACCAAGAACAGTCCGAGAGCCCCTGGTAAATACCTGCAGAGAGAGAAGCCTGGATTTGTTGGGGTTTTCCGGCTTGTACCAGCCCTTTACAAACTCTGCTAAGGTAAACAACAGTGGGAACAACCGGTGATGGGGGGGGGCTTTGCCTCCAGAGCTTGTTGTTAATGCTGAAATGAGGCCAGCTTGCAGCAGGTGCACAAAGGTCAGAAAACATGGTCCTGGGTTGCATGACTCTCCATTACCCTGATCCCTCCACATTGCATCTGGAGGCAGAGGCAGGCAGATCTCTGTGAGTTCTAGGCCAGTGTGGTCTATATAGTGAGTTCCAGGACAGCCAGGGCTATGTAGAGAGACCCTGTCTCAAAATATGGAAAAATATTTTTCCACTTATACAGATCAAACAAAAATACAGTATGGGGGGGGGCAGGGGAGGGCACGGGAGGAAGGGAGGGAATGGGAGAGGGACCTGGAACTGACTTGTGAAGCAACCTTGATTCTTATCTAAATTTAAACTGGAAAATAAAATTAAAAAAAAATACAGTATGAATTTTTTTTCATACCTGGAAACACCATGTACCAAAGATCCAAGTTATGCCACCATAAAAATCACTTTGCCTGTGTCACCCATTACATGTCAGGCCATCATGGACATTGCTTTTTCTATGATAGCTATGATCACCTTGTCTTTGAGATTCAGTGCGGCCACCTGGGCCCTTGCTACTTTGGGTACCAACTAAACCCATTGCATTTAATTCACACAACTGAGCAATGGCATCTCTGACCCTAGGCACAAAGAAAAAGGCAAAACAAAGCTCTTCAACCATGCTGGTATCCCTCCCTTGCTGTGATATTGCATCTTATAGAATTAGTGAAGGACATGCCTTCTGGGCCTTCCCATTGTGGAGGATTAGGTTTTACACACTGTACCCTCTCTAGCATTGCAATTTCCCTGAGCCTTAAAAGGCCTTCATCAACACTAAGCCAGGGGATATCAGGCATCTCCAACTCTTTTTCAATATGCCATCTTTTGATAAATGCTTCAGCCAACCATTCAAACAACCCCTGATAACTTTTTTTTTTCTTTGAAAAACACAGCGTGAAGCTAGAGTTTATTGTAAGGCTTGCATAATTTTTAAGGTTTTTTTGTTTTGTTTTGTTTTTCGAGACAGGGTTTCTCTGTATTGTTTTGGAGGCTGGCCTGGAACTCACAGAGATCTGCCCGCCTCTGCCTCCCGAGTGCTGGGATTAAAGGCATGCATCACCAACACCCGGCTCCCTGATAACTTTTTTAACTGTACAAGTGTCCACCTTAAACTTAGACACTCCACTCAGTGGCCCATATCAATAAACTCATCCTGATCCAGTTAATTTCTGTTCGAATTAGCAAACTCACCAAGCTCTTTAGTAGTGTAGCACACCTCCTCATGACTACACTTTTCTTTCTTTCTTTTTCTTTTTTGGTTTTTTGTTTTGTTTTGGTTAGGTTTGGTTTTTGGTTTTTGTTTTGTTTTGTTTTGGTTTGGTTTTTGTTTTTTTTGTAGCACACCTCCTCATGACTACACTTTTTTTTTTTTTTTTTTTTTTTTTTTGGTTTTTCGAGACAGGGTTTCTCTGTGGCTTTGGAGGCTGTCCTGGAACTTGCTCTGTAGACCAGGCTGGTCTTGAACTCACAGAGATCCACCTGCCTCTGCCTCCCGAGTGCTGGGATTAAAGGCGTGCGCCACCACCGCCCGGCCATGTCCACACTCTCTGCCTCCCTTTTATCTCACCTAGCAGCCTTAAGTCTGGCTATAGGTCTAGAGGTAACTATTGGGACACCCTGAGGGACACCGGTGTTGTCTTGCCTGGCATCTTCTTCAGAGAAAGTCTCTGATAGTTTAGTAGACAATGAAGGATTAATTCCCTCAAAGTGTGAAAAGGTAATATTTCCAGGGGCTGGGGGCAAGAGTACATCTTCTGCTAATGGAGGAGAGACAACTTCCTCAGGTGAGATAAAAACCTTGAGAATATTAGGGTTCGGAGTTCTCAGCCTCAATGGGGTCCTCCCACATACCTGCATCCCAAGTTATAGTACACCATTATTTACCAATAATGCCCTTACTTTAGCTGCTGACACCCTATAGGCTGTGACTGGAAATTTTGCTGTAATTCAGCCAACCTTGTAAATGAAGCATCCTCTAGATGGATGGATCCCCCAAAATGGAATAGCTGGATCATTAGATGGGTCCTCTTCCATCTTTCTGAGGAACCCCCGCACTGATTTCCATGGTGATTGTACAAGTTTGCACTCCCACCAGCAAGGGGTGGCTTCCCCTTACTCCATATTCTCACCATATGAGCTGTCACTTTTTATGGTTGCTACAAGATGAGTTCTCAGCCGGGCGTTGGTGGCACACGCCTTTAATCCCAGCACTCGAGAGGCAGAGGCAGGTGGATCTCTGTAAATTCGAGACCAGCCTGGACTACCAAGCGAGTTCCAGGACAGCCTCCAAAGTCACAGAGAAACCCTGTCTTGAAAAAACAAAAACAAAAACAAAAAAAATGAGTTCTCAAAGTAGTTGTTGATTTGCATTTCCCTGGTAACTAAGGATGTTGAACATTTCTTGAAGTGTTTTTCATGCCTCTGAGTTTTCTTTTTTGAGAATTCTCTGTTTAGATCTGTACTCTTTTTTTTCTTCAATTGGATTATTTGTTTTCTTGATGTCCAGTTTTTTTAGTTATTTATATATTTTTATATTAGTCCTTTATGGGATAAGTAGTTGGTATTAAAAAAAATCTGGGAGGGAGAGGGAGCTGGGATTGACATGTGAAACAAACTTGTTTCTAACTTAAATAAAAAAAGCAAACAAAGAGAAAGATAAAAAAATCTTTTCCATTGTCCAAATGGCGATGTCCTTTGGCCTTCAGAAACTTTTCAGTTTAATGAGGTCCTGTTTATTCATTATTGCTGTTAGCACCTGTGCTAATGGTGTCCTCTTCAGAAAGTCCTTTCCTGTGCCGGTGAGTTCAAGGCGATTCCCCTGTCCTCTTCTGCCAGGGTTAGCATATCTGGTCTTATGTTGAGGATTTTTATCTACTTATTGTTCAGTTTTGTGCATGTGGTAAGTATGTGTCTATTTGCATTCTTCTACACTCGGCCAACAGTTTCACTATGCTATGTTTTCTCCAGTATGTATGTCTGGCTTCTTTATAAAAAAAAAATCAGGTGTCTGTGGGTGTGCACTTACTTCTGGGTTTTCATTTCAGTTCCATCAATCTGTTTTGTGCTGATACCATGCTGTTTTTATTTAGATAGCTCTGTAGTACAATCTGAGATCAGGTGTGTGCCTTTTGATAGCAATAGAACAATGACTAAGACAAGCCAAAGGGAAAAAACCAAGATTTGTTCACTCATTTATTCAATAAAAGTTTGTGTGTGGGATACATGTGCTTGTGCACATTAAATGTGAGCAGAGGCCAAGTGTCCACACTGCATGTCTTGCTTTATCATTCTCTACCTTACTTTTTGAGACAGGCTCTCTTACCATACCCACAGCTAGGCAATTTAGCTAGAGTTGCCGGTCAGTGAGATTCAGGGATCCTCCCGTTTCTGTCCCCCAAGCGCTAGAATTAGAGATGTATAACATTATGCCCTGTTAAAACCCTGATTCTAAGACTCCAAACTCAGACCCTCACATTTGCATGGCAGAGACTACCCACTGAGTCAATTCCTCAATTCTTCAAGCATTTCTTTTTTTTAATTTTTTAAAATTTATTTATTATGTATATACTATTCTGCCTGTATGCCAGAAGTGGATACTGGATCTCATTATAGATGGTTGTGAGCCACCATGGGGTGGCTGGGAATTGAACTCAGGACCACTAGAAGAGCAGCCAGTGCTCTTAACTGCTAAGCCATCTCTCCAGTCCTATTTATTTTTATTTTATGAGCATTGATTTGTGTATGCCTGTATAAGGATGTCATATCTTTTGGAATTGGAGTTACAGACAGTTGTGAGCTGCCATGTGAGTGGAGGGTGTTGAACCCTGGTCCTCAGGAAGAGCAGCCCATGTTCTTAGCCACTGAGCCATCTCTTCAGCCCCATCCTCGAGCATTTCTCTAGCAATCAGATACTGTGACTAAACTGTTGAGCAAAGATAACATGGTCTCTGGCCAATCATCATCTAACATGAAGACAAACATTGACAATCCCAGCAGTAACAACAGCAACAAAATATCACTCAAAGATAAGGGTATAACTTAGTTGATAGAGTACTTGCTTCATGTGCACAGAACCCCAGGCTTGGTCCTTAGCACCTCATACTTAGAGGGTTGGAAGCAAGAGGATCAGAAGTTCAAGGTAATCCTATATTACATAGGGAGTTCTGGGCCAGTCTGGGCCACACAGAAAAGCCTGTCTCAAAAGCAAGAACCAACCAACGAGCAAACCACATCAATTACACGAAGTTGAGAATGAGCTACAGAGGGAAAGCCATAATGGCACTAATTTAGCCAGGGGCCTTGCTTCCTCCAAGAATGTGGTAGTGTAGTTAAGAGCTGAATCATCACTTGAGTTAACAAAACAGGGAGGCTTATTCCAGTGACAGGAGCAGCAGGTGCACAGGGGCCCTGGGGCCGATGGGGACATGGGGTTTGGGCTGAAGATCCAGTGAAGACTCACGCAGCAGAAGGACCATGCATGGTACTTCAGGAAGCGGTAGGGATAAGCACCTGCCTACTGCCAAAGGCCTTCGGGACTCTGCCCGAGAGAGTCTGCTCACCCTAGACAGTGCCTGCCACCTGTCCTGTGATTGACAGCTACAATAGGCACCACCTGCTCTCCTGCTCTTTGCCTTCCATTTGGGTTCAGCCAATGGGAAGTTGTGTTGGGAGCCTGGAGGTTAGGAAAGTTGCCAGGTCACTGGGAGTTGGCTGCCTTGCCTGCCAGAGGCCAATGCTTCTGGCAAACAGTCCTCTCCGTGTAGCTGTTGCTATGGTTCTGATCTGAACTAACCATCCAAGTGCCCCTGTGCAGACGGCTCAGCCTCCAACCTGTGACTCTTGGGAAATCTGGAGGTTTTTCAAGGTGAAGGCTGGTGGAAGGCAGCTAAGGGGTGTGCCTGTAAGGGGGACGATGGGAAGCCAGTCCCTTCTTGCCTTTTTCTCTGTTTCCCAGGGACCACGTGGTAACCAGAAAGCTTGCTTCATAGCGCCCTACGCCACCACATACCCTGAGCAACAGGTCCAAGCAGCCACTAAGGGAAATCTCTGAAACCGGGATCAATCTGCTCCTTACAAAGCCCTTCACTCCAGCGTGTGCTACAGCCGTGGCAGCTGACACGGAGACCCCATCTGAGACGACAGGTCTGGTAGGCACGCTTCTGTGCAGAGTATGTTATTTCTGTCCAGAGTGTACTGGAGAGCCAGACATCTGAAACAGAGGAAAGGAGTGTGCAGCTCAGGAATGTTCAGTTGACTGCAGACCATGGCGTGGGATAGGGCTGGTTCCGGGCCTTTCTTTTGGGCTTGTACATGGCTGATTCCTTCATGCATCTGCTCACATAATCGCTCTCTACACAGAAAAACTCTGTCTCAAAAATACAAAAAGGTATTTCTGTGTGTCTGACATGGAAAGGGCTCCAAGAACATGGTTGTTTGTTTAGTTTGGTTTTGTACTCATCATTTCAGGACTTTGTGTTTAGCGGGATTTGCTTGGTTTTTGTTTAGTGAGATAACGTTTTACTTAGTAGCAGGCTGGACTGGAATGCACTATGTATCCCAGGCTGGCCTCAAACCCATAATGATCCTCCCGCCTGGGCCTCCCAAGTGCTGAGATGACAGGTGGTAGCCACTATTCTTGGAAGATTTTTTTTAAAGAGAATGTGTGTGTGTGTGTGTGTGTGTGTGTGTGTGTGTGTGTGTGTGTGTGTGTGTGTGTGTGTAGAAGCTAAAAGAAGACATCAGGTCCCCTGGAGTTAGAGTTGTAGGAAGTTGTAAGATACCTGATATGGGTGGAGGAACATGTCCTCCAGAAGATCAGTTAGCACTCTAAACTGCAGAGCCACACTTCAAGCCCCTCTCCCTGCAAACATATTATTGTTTTATATATATATATACATATATATACACACATATATATATACACATATGCATGTATACATCACACACACATAACACATACACACATGGAAGGGCAAGGGTGAAGACCCTCACTACCACACACTATGCAGTCAACTCTCCTGCATTTGGAGAGCTGGTGGGGTCAGTACACCCAAGCACAAGGAGGAACCTTGACATGGGAAACCACCTTGTGATCATGGCATCGTCCGCACCAGATGAGTGAGTGTTCCCGATATACTTTAAACTTCAATAGCATAATACAATGTACATGCTAGCTAGCATGCGTGTCTTTTGTTCAGAAAAGGCTATCATTTTTTTTTGTCTGTAACAAAATCGTACTATATAGTCCAGACTTGCCCCAGTTCTAGAATCTCTGTATCTCTGGTGCCTGGATTACAGAGTTCATCATCCATGCAGGCAGACTGTCATTTTTTTTTTTTTACTTTTTTTGAAATACTGAAATTTTCTTACTTCATCTGTAATCGTGCGACTTTAATTCTTATCATATTTTTAAATTTGCCTGATGTTGTGGGATATTCTTTTATACTATGTGATTGATTTAGTAAAGAGCTTAATGGCCAATAGCGAGGCCGGAAGAGGTTAGGTAGGGCTTACAGGCAAAGAGGGAGGAAGAGGAGATGAATCTAGGCCCGGGAGAAACACTGCAGGACACAGAGAGGAAACAGGAGGTGCAAGATGAAAAATGGGAAAAAAGTCATGAGGCAAAACATAGACTAATAGAGTTGGGTTAACTTAAGTTATAAGAGCTGATGGGGCTGGGCGTTGGTGGCTCACGCCTTTAATCCCAGCGCTTGGGAAGCAGAGGCAGGCGGATCTCTGTGAGTTCGAGGCCAGCCTGGTCTACAGAACGAGTTCCAGGACAGCCTCCAAAGCCACAGAGAAACCCTGTCTCAAAAAAACAAAAAAACAAAACAAAACAAAAAAAAGAGCTGATGGGTTCCAAACCAGCACTTGGGAGGCAGAGACAGGCAGATATCTGTGAGTTCGAGATCAGATCAGCCTGGTCTACAGAATGAGTCCAGGATAGCCTCCAAAACCACAGAGAAACTCTGCCTTGAAAAACCAAAAAAAGATTTATTTATCCAAGAGGCCAACAGCCAAGGTATCAGCATGATGGCACCTTCGGGGCAGGAGCAGGCTCCATGAGAGCTTACCTACTCTGGTGGCTATGGACAACTGTCACAGCTGGCAACCCCATACTCCCAGTCCCTTCTTCTGTAGTAACATGGCCTCCTCCATGGCCATCAAATCTGAGGGTGTCCTTTTCCTCCTCCTCTGCACCTGGCACAGCTTATCCAACATGGCCTCATGTTATGTGTCTGTCTGTCTGTGTCTGTCTGCAAGTGAGGGTGTCTGGGTCTCGGTGTACATGTGGAGGTCAGAGGACAACCCTGGACGTCCTTCCTCAGGCACTATTCCGTGTGTGTGTGTGTGTGTGTGTGTGTGTGTGTGTGTGTGTGTGTGTGTGTGAAGGGGTCTCCCACTGGCAAGTCAGTGAGTCCCAGGGTTACATTTGCCTTGAATCTGTCTCTGCCCCAGTGCTGGGATTACAAGCCTGCACCCACTACACCCTGCTTTTGTTTTTTAACACAGGGTGTTGGGGTCTCAACTTGGGTCCTTATGCCAACTGGGCGAGCACTTTTACTGACTGCTAACCTCCCACTGCCTTTGTTTGTTTGTTTATTCATTCATTCATGCATGCATGCATTTATTTTGGTTTTCCATGACAGGATTTCTCTGTACTTTTTGGAACCTGTCCTGGAACTTGCTCTGTAGACCATTCTGGCCTCAAACTCACAGAGATCCTCCTCTGCATCTGCCTCCTGAGTTCTGGGATTAAAGTGTGTACCACCATCGTCTGGCAATGTCTTTGTTTATTTTTCAAGACAGGGTCTAATGTAGCCCAAGTTGGCTTTGAACTATGTAGCTATGGATGACAAATTTGACAGATTATTTGGGGATGGTCATTACAGCTATTGCTCAATTTAATTTGTTTATTTAGTCCTTTGAGATAAAGTCTTTTTATTTATTTTTATTTTATGTTCATTGGTGTTTTGCCTGCTTATATGACTGTGTGAGGGTATCAAAAGCCTTGGGACTGGAGGTACAGACAGTCGTGAGCTGCTATATGAGTATTGGGAATTGAAACCCAGGTCCTCTGGAAGAACAGTCAGTGCTCTTAACTGAGCCATCTCTCCAGCACTGGTATAATGTGTGATAGTTTGAATGTAATCTCCCTATTCCCCAAGCTCATAGGGAGTGGCACTACTAGAAGGTGTGGCTTCGCTGGAGTAGGTGTGGCCTTGTTGGAGGAAGGGTGTCTCTGTAGGGGCAGGCTTTGAAGTCTCCTATGCTCAATCTATGTCCTGTGTCAGTTCACTTTCTGCTGCCTGTGGATCAAAATGTAGAATTACCCCTCTCACAAGGGACCAGGATCTGTCCCTGGTGCATGAGCTGGCTTTTTGGAGCTCATTCCCTATGGTGGGATGCCTTGCTCAGCCTTGCTGCAGGGGAGAAGGGCTTTTTCCTGTCTTAAATTAATGTGCCAGGCTTTGTTGACTCCCCATGGGAGACCTTGCCCTTTCTGAGGAATGTATGAGGGGTCGGATGGGGGTGGGTGAACGGGGAGCAGGAGTAGTGGAAGGAGAGGGAACTGTGGTTGGTACCTAAAATCAATAAGAATTTTAAAATAAAAAGTATATACATAAATAAATAATAAATAAAAAGCTGTAGAGCTCTCAGCTCCTCCAGCACCGTGTCTGCCTGTATGCTGCCATGTCCTGCCATGATAGCAATGAACTAACCCTCCGGACTGTGAGCCACCCCATTAAATGCTTTCCTTTCCAAGAGCTGCCGTAGTCGTGGTGTCTCCTCACAGCAATAGATTCCCTAACTAAGACAGATACCAAGCTGCAGACAAGGAAACTTAGTGGGTGTGAGACTGGGTCAGTGTTCTATCGCCTGTGCCCCCCCCCGACTGGTGACATAGATGGCCTGGGCTCCTTTAAGTGGACCCAGCACCCTCATTTCCTGTCTTCACATAAATGACTTCCGTTGCGAAGGACCTATGAATGCACTAGTCCCTCACAGAAACATCCCTGCTTTTTTCTCCAGTGTTCCGAAATACGGTCTTGTGCAGCCCAAGCTAGCCTCTAGCTCTGTATGTAGCTGAGCATGGTCTTGAACTCTTGATCCCCCTGCTTTAACCTCCCAAGTGCTGGAGTTACAGGCATGAACCATCATCACCACCACAGCCAGCTCTGTCACTTTGTGTTTTAGGAAAAATCATAATAAAATTACTTAATGGAGCTGGCAAAGTAGACTGGAGAAAATCCTAGAAGCCGTGTTTTCTGGATCAGTTCCCAGCCTGAGAACTCTGAACCAGGCCCCTCAGAGTCATCGGAAGGTAGACTCCACCCAGTCAGGGAGTGTTGTCCTGAGATTTGAGAGCCAGCCAGCACTGTAGAGACCGTCCACAGGACCTGCTGTGATGCGGAATCAGAAGAGAATTCTTCAGCTTGCTACAGTTTCTTCCAGCCAGTAGAAAAGGTGTCCTCAATGTCTGAGCAGAAGCGTGTCCACAGAGGCTTCTAAAATTTTCGTTTCAGAATACTTTCATACTCTTAAAAATGGCAGTGTTCTAGAGGAGATTTGCTTATATTAGTTATATTTATTGATATTTACTATATTAGAAACAGAAACTGGGGTTGGGTGTGGTGGCACACACCTTTAATCCCAGCACTCAGGAGGCAGAGGCAGGCAGATCTCTATGAGTTCAAGGCCAGACTGGTCTACAAATTGAGTTACAAAATAATTATAGAGAAATCCTATCTCAAAAAGACAAAAAAAAAAAAAGAGAGAGAGAGAAAGCAAAAGAAAAAAAGAGGGGGAGGAGAGAGAGAGAGAGAGAGAGAGAGAGAGCCTGAAGCTAGGCTAAGGCATGGCAATGGACACACCTTTCATTCCAACACCCAGGAGGCAGAGTCAGGTGGATCTCTGTGAATTCCAGGCCAGCTGTTACACAATGAAATCCTGTCTCGAAAAACAAAACAAATAGAAACTGAGAAAAGTTTAAGCAATTTATTCTTTTTTTTTTCTCTGTTTTTAAGACAGGGTCTCACTCTGTAGCCCAGGTTGGCCTCTAGAACTCACTACGTTGACCAACCTTGCCTCAGACTCACAGTGATGCTCCCCCTTCAGCCTCCTAAGTGTGGGAATTACAGGTTTATGCCAGTCTACTTGAATACTTCGTTTTTTTGTTTTTTGTTTTTTGAAAAAGCATCTCATAATGCTGGCCTCCTCCATCTAGCTTTTAAAATTTTATTCTTTAAGATTTATTTTTGAGAGGGGAGAGGCTAGAAAAATGGTTCAGAGGTTAGGAGCACTTACTGCTTTCACAGATGATCTAAGTTCCCTTCCCAGAACTCACATCCTAGCTCACAAACATGCATAACTCCAGTTCCTGGGGAGCTGCCCCGTTCTGACCTCTGTGGGTACCAGGAATGCTCATAGTGCTCAGACATATTCAGACAAAACACTCATGCAAAAAAATACAAAGTTTAAAAATTATGTTATGTAGCCGGGTGTTGGTGGCACACTCAGCTTGGTCAATAGAGTGAGTTCCAGGACAGCCTTCAAAACAATACAGAGAAACCCTGTCTCGAAAAACCAAAAAAGAAAAATTATGTTATGTTTATTTGCATATATGTATGTGTGTCTGTGTTTGGGTATATGTATGTGAATCTGAGGACAGGTGTCCTTGGAGGCCAAAAGATGGTGGGTGTCAGATCACCGAGAGCTGCATTACAAGCGGCTGTGGGCCCCTATAGGGGTGTTGACATGCAGATGGGTCCTTTGGAAGAGCAGCAAATATTCTGGAGCCCTGAACATCAGCCTTCTGTTAACTGCTTTTGGAGGAACTGCAGTAAACTGGGTGTGAGGGCACACAGCATTCTTGAGGCAGAGGCAGGCAGTGGTGGTCCCATCTTTAATCCCAGCACTCTGTAGGCAGAGGCAGGGGGATCTTTGACTTAGAAGCCATCCTGGTCTACAGAGTCAGTTCCCGGACAGCCAGGGCTGTTATACAGAGAAACCCTGACTTGGGGAGGAAAAAAATCATTGTGAGTTTGAGGCCATTTTCATCAACCTAGAAAATTCTACATAGTGAAAACCTATCTCAACACACACACACACACACACACACACACACACCAGACAAAAAAACAATATACTCATACAGTTTCACTTATTATTTGCTTATTCTGTCATTGAACATGTGCATGGCATGTGTGGGTGGTGTTGGGACAACTTTGTGACCGTTCTGTCTACCTTTACGTGGCTTCTGGAAGTTGTCATGCTTGCTTAGCAAGCACTTTACTTGATGAGTCAGCACGCACGCAGATTTAAATAACACTTTTTTATTTGCTTGTTTTGGGCTTGGGGGGTTTGAGAAGATTCTTTGGGTTTTTTTGAGACAGAGTCTCATGAAGCCAAGCCGGCTTCAAACTCACTATGTTGCCAAGACTGGCCTAAAATTCCCAGTCCTCCTGTGCCACCAGCATGAATTAATAAGTTCAGCTTATGCTTTCTAAAAAAAAAAAAATCCTTGAGGAGACTGGGATCGTTTTGCGGTTTTGTAAATCTCGTTGCTGTGCTTAATCGAAGACAGCTGGGTTCTCATATCTGCATTGGCTCTAATTGCACATGACGTTCTGGTTGAATTATACGAACACAATCTGTCCTCACATGAAGCTGGGGAAGGGAGGGCCTCATGGACCCCCCTGAAGAAGTCTGCAGGATCCCAGTGGCCCTTAGACCACAGGCTAAGAACCCTGTGCTAGCAAACAAATCATCTTAATAAAGATGGGACTGTGGTGAGGAATGACAACTAAGAACTCTGAGTGGGGAGGAGCTGAGGAGACGGCTCAGCTGCTAAGCCTGATGTCCTGAGTTCAATCCCCAGGACCCACATGGTAAAGGGAGCAAACTAAGTCCTGCAGATTGTTCTCTGACCTCTACACAGGCACTGTGACACTGGGGCATGCCCTCTCTCTCTGTCTCTCTCTCTCTGTCTCTCTCTCTCTCTCACACACACACACACACACACACTCGTACTCACACATGCAATGGAGATAAATAAATGTTTAAAAACGAAGCTGAGCCTTCGTATAAGTGGGAGGACTGCTTTAGAAGGGAAACTTAGGGACGGAGCAATAACTGTGAGGTTAAGGGAGCGCCGGCTGCTCTTGGAGAGGACCCAGGTTTGACTCCCAGTGCCCACAAGCAAGCGTAACTCCAGTTTCAGGGGAGCTGATGTTCTGAAGAGATAAGAAGACATGTGCATGGAGCACAAATATACATAAAGGCAAAACGGTCATACACATAAAATTTACAAGTCTAGCTGGGTGGTGGTGCATGCCCTTCGGAATCAGAGGCAGGTGGGTCTCTGTGAGTTCGAAGCCAGCCTGGTCTACAGAGTTCAGGACAGCCAAGGCTATACAGAGAAACCCTGTCTCAAAAAACTTAGTAGTCTACAAAAAGGGAGAAAGGGAGGGAAATTCTCCCTTTGTCAGTCTTTTCCAGCCCAGGAGAAAACTTTACCCCACCCATCTGTTACATGTACACACACACACACACACACACACACACACACACACACACACAGCCTACTGAATCCATTTGCTTTGCTTGTATGTGCTGTTGTAATTTAAGACAGGATTCAAGAAAAGGGTTTTGTTTTTTCTTTTTTTTTTGTTTTTTCAAGACAGGGTTTCTCTGTAGCTTTGGAGGCTGTCCTGGACTCACTTTGTAGACCAGGCTGGCCTCGAACTCACAGAGATCCGCCTGCCTCTGCCTCCCAAGTACTGGGATTAAAGGTGTGAGCCACCAATGCCCTGCTGAAAAGGGTATTTTTTTATTAGGGAAAGGAATTATAAAAAAGGGGAAAGGGGAGGGGGAGTCCGGCCTCTGGAGAGAGGAACAGTAGGAGAGAGGAGAGAGGAAAGAGAGGGAGAGGGAGGGAGAGAGAGAGAGAGAGAAGAACAGGGGAGAGAAAGAAAGAGAAGGATGGGAGGTGGGCTGGGCCCTTTTAAATGGGAACACGGTGAATATGTGAATATGCACAGGCGGTGCTCTTAGTGGCCACAGCTGAGGGCATGTCCTGTCAGCCCAGTGAGGGCCAGCACAGAAGCCTGAATACTAACGTGTGCTTGTGTGTTCCCAGGGCTGAGCACTTGGGACTGAACAACCTTCTGTGAGAGTTCACCCCTGGAGGAAACTGACTCTTCCTCTCAGCAGCCACTGACTACCTGTTGGAAGTTCAAGGGTGCGGTTTCCCTGTTCTACAGATATTACCTCACAGCAGCTGCCTGGACTCCTGGCTCTCACAGTCTTTCCAAGCCCTCACCTCCGTGATTTTCCCTGAGCCGTAGGGGTTGTGTTGCAGATGTATCAGTTGGGGTCGGGCTCCCCCTGTCACATATTATCTGCATTTTGGCCGGCTGTGGAGCTCTGTAACAGTCTTCCTGCTGGACAAATAAACTCTTCGATGAGGGGTGAGAGCCATATTTATGAGGCTAGGCCTGAGCCTGTAGGTTAGACATGGGTTTCTTTTTCTTTCTTTCCTTCTTTTTTTGGGGGGTGCGGGGAGGAGGGACAGACAGGGTCTCTGTCTGTAGTTCACTATAGACTCTTGAGATAGGAGATCCTTCTGCCCCAGTCTTCAGAGTGCTAAGATGGCTACCGGCAGGAGCAAAGGGCACACACTAACAATGGCCCCTGCCTATAAGCCTGGCTCTTGGAGGCTGAGGAAGGATTACGGAGAGTTTAAGGCCATCTTAGGCTACAGATGAGTTCCAGGCCTACAATATGAGATCCTGTTTCAAAAGGAAGGAGGGGAGGAGGGAGAGTGGGAAGAGAGAAATGACAGATGAACTAGGCATGGTGCATTTGGGAGGCTAAGGAAGGATCGCTTAGTTCAAGACCAGCCTGGGCCATGTAGGGAGTTCCAGGAGAGACTGATGCAGAGAGAGAAACAGAGACCTTGCTTCAAAGTTGAAAACCCCGGTCTTCTTTCAGCATCTGGATCCCTACCCGAGCTCTGAGAAACGTCCAGGGAGGAAGGCTGAGGACTCATCTTTTAACTTTTCCTCTTTGATAATGGGGATACACCCAAGACTTGTCTCCTCCTCCTCCTCACTCAGAGTCCTCACTATGTCCTCCTCCTCATCCCCAGTCCTCGCTGCCTCCTCTCCCTCCTCCCAGTCCCCACTGTTAGCTCCTCCTCCTTAACTGCTGAGAAAATCACCCAAGTGTGGAAACTGGACCGTGACATCCATGGAGAGATCCCTTCCCACATCCAAGTTTCCAGCCATCTCGGAGGAACCCAGACTCAGCTGCTCTCTACTGTGTTGTCACCCTTGTCACCATTAACAAGTGGACATGTGGCCACACAAGACAGATTCTCTCCTCTGTCCCGTCTGAGCCTGTGCTTCATTAATAGACAACCAACCCTCTAGTGTCGGCAGGTTAATTATCTGGCCTGGGTTAACAGCGACTTCTACAGCTCTAACTTAGGAAGTGGCCCTCGGACCCTTTGACGCACAGAAATGGGCACAGCTGTTGCCAAGTGGAGCTTCTCTGTCTCTCTTGCGGTGGGTCAGGCCTTGCTTTGCAAAGGAGGGCAAGCGAGATGAGCAGGGGGACAAGCAACAGGGCCAGGGCTGAGGAAGAACAGTGCCCTGACAGAGAATGGCAGTGGGGTCCACTTTAGCCAGAGACAACAGGGCATCATTCCGTCACACAAGGAGATGGTGAAGAGGGTTTTCATTTATTGTTCAACTGGTTGCAAGACAGAATTTCACTGAATAGACCAGGCTAGCCTTAAACTCACAGAGGTGCTCCTATCTCTACCTCCCAAATGCTTGGGTTGAAGTCCTGAGTCACCATGACCAGTAGATGAAGGGATGGTTATGTGAGATAACCTGAAAAAGAAGAGTCTGGAACCAATGAGATGGCTCAGCAGATGCCTTCTGCCAAGACTGAGGACCTGAATTTTGATCCCTGAGACCCACAAAATGGTAGAAGATAACTGACTCCCACAAATTGCCCTCTGACCCCTGAACACATACAGTAGGACAAGTATGCCCCTGCACTAAATAAAATGAATAAATTGATGAGAAGGGTGAGTTGAGGGTTTACCGGCTATGGTGGCTATGCACAGACTTGGATGGGAGAGCAGACAGACTGGAGAGCTCCTTGTGGCAAAGAGTGAAAGCACTGTTTTGGTTTTGTTAATATTTGATTTGCTTTGAGACAGGGTCTCACTATGTGGCCCAGGCTGAAACTCACAAAGATCCACCTGCCTTTGCCTACTGATCGAGGGGAGAAGAAACGCATAGGCTGCCAAACTGCCTGTGTGGCTCAGTGTGAACTCTAGCCTGGCTGTGCCAGCCCCTTGGTTCCACCCTTAGTGTTGCAGAAAATGAAAGAAAAATGTAGCTCCCTTTCATCCTATGGTGTTTGTTCAATAAGGGTCTGATGTAGCCCAGGCTGGCCTCCAACTGCCACCAAGGATGACCTTGAACTGATCCTCCTGACTCTACTGAACTCCAGACTGCTGACTCCAGCAGAGTTAAACGCACAGAAATTTTGCCCCCCAATTTTTCACTTTTATTCATTTATTTGAAACAGGTTCTTACTCTAGCCAAGGCTAGCCTCACCTCACACTTGAGATTGTCCTTCTGCTTAGGCTTCCCTTGGGCTGTGATGACAGGTGTGAGCCACCACGCCTAGTTTGATTCCATCAGTATCAGTAGGTAAGGCCAGAAACAGCAGAAAAGATCCAGGGCCAGCCTTAGCTTCAGTGGGAAGCAGGGCATGAGTGTGGTAAGAGGAGAGTTTAATACAAGTTTACCCTGCCGAGGTTAGAAAGCAAGGTGCCAGGGAAAGGTCAGGAGGCACCCAAGTGCCTGTAGGCGTCTCAGGAGGTAGAACCCTGGATTTGGGTGGTTTCTGAACAGCTCAAAGGGTTGCTAAGGACTGTGAATGAGGTCATAGGGTGGTTCCCTACTGATAAGGTCACACCCCAGGTCACAAGCCTTGCTCACTGAAGCTCAGGTGTTTTTACTGTAAACAAAAGCTGATTGTGAAATTCCTGGAAAATATCTGAGAAGAATCAGACTTTACATGCAGGCTCTACATACCCACCCGTACACACGGTTCACTGCTATCTTAACATTTTTTCCAGATTTATTTCTATTTATGTATCTGTATGTATATGCTACATATGTGGGGGTGCCCTTGGAGGCTCGCAGAGGGCATGAGTTCCCTGGAAAGGAGTTATAGGAACTGTGACTTGGGAAACCAAGTTCTGGAAGGAAAAGCAAGAGCTCTTAACTACTGCACCGTCTCTCCAGCCTCCTATCATAGCATTTTTTAGTTTTTATTTTATGTGCATTGGTGTCTGTGTGAGGTGTCAGATCTCTTGGAACTGGAGTTACAGACAGTTGTGAACTGCCATGGTGCTGGGAATTGAACCCCGTTCCTCTGGAAAAGCAATCAGTGCTCTAAACTGCTCAGCCATCTCTCCATGCCCCTATTTTAGCATTCTTATTTAAAACATTCTTTTTTAAGTCAGGTGAGGTGGCAGGTGCCTTTTTAATTCCAGTACTTGGGAGGCAAAGGAAGGCAGACCTCTGTGAGTTATAGGCTAGCCTGGTCTACATTTGAAACAACAGCCTCAAAACAACCAACCAAAAACAAACGATTCTATAGAAAGGGAGTATTGTCTGTCACAACCTTTGCCGTTAATGTTAATTGTGTTCCAGTCTGTGACTCTCAAGCTGCTGGTAGACTCCAAGTTAAGGGCAGAGAAGACTCTTCTCCCTTCCTATGTCCCATTAATATTCTTTTTGTCGTTTGTTCGTTTGAGACAGGGTTTCTTCCTGTAGCCTTGGTTTCCCTGTCTTTCTATCCTGCCTCAGGCCTACAATATTTGAATAAAGCCAACTGGCCAAAAGTTCCAGAGAACTGAGCTCTCTACAGCCTCCCTTCCCTCTCTCAGGGCACTTTCCTCTCTGGCAGCCTAAAGTCTAGTTTTGTTATTAATGGCAACTGCTTTATGTTTTTAATAAGCCACCTTCCTAGGAGCCCCTCACTTCCAGTTAGGGAGGGATTTGTGCCCTCGCCCTAAATTCACATATTCAAAAGCTAATCTCAGGATTTCAGAATGTGAATGTATTTGGACACAGGACCTTTGAAGAGGTAATTGGTTAAAATGCGGTCATTAGCTGGGCGTGTGGTGCATACCTTTAGTCTTAGCAATAGGGAGGCAGAGACAGGCAGGTTGCTGTGGTTGAGGCCAGTTGGGACTACATAATGGTACCCTGCCTCAAGAAAGAGGAAGAAGAAAAAATAAACAAATAAAAAGGTCATCATTGACGAGTCCCAATACCCCAATCCAGTATCACTGGATGACAAAAAAAATAAAAAATAAAAATAAAAAGACAGACCCAGAGGACACAATAAGAAGATGCAAAGAAAGACCCAGTCTTGGACTAGGAAGACTAGAGCACAGTGTGGAAGCAAGTGCCCAGCATGTGTGAGGCTCTAAGTTCAATTCCTTGCACTGGAGGTATAGGGGGTGGAAACAGGTGTTTGCTGGGCATGGACACACACACACACACACACACACACACACACACCATGGCTATGATCCCAGCAACTGGGAAGTTGAAGCAAAAGCATTGCTGTTTGAGACTAGCCCATATAACATACAGTTCAAGAATAGCCTAGGAGCCAGGTGTGGTACACTTGGGAGGCAGAGGCAGGCAGATTTCTGTGAGTTCAAGGCCAGCGTGGTCTACAAAGCAAGTTCTAAGACAGTCATGGCTATTATACAGAGAAACCTGTCTTGGAAAGCAAAACAAAGCAAAAAACAAACAAACAAACAATAAAATCCTGGGATATTGTATAAATCCCATCTCAACCCCCTCAGAGGCTCTAGCTCCAGGACACAGGTTTCCACTGAGGAAGCAAGGCACTGGCAGGCTTCAAGGGCCACAGCAGGGCAAGGTGGGATGTGGCAGCCATCTTAGCACTGCGCTGACATTGCAACCGTGTCTCTGTGTGGCACACTCTCTAATTTACTTCCTGGTATTAGGAGTAGGTCAGGCCCTGCCATCTGTTCCCTCTTGACAGTCCCTTACCGTCACTGGAAAACATCTTTGAAATTTGGAGACGGGACCACCTGTAGCTGTAGTGTCATCTTATTCCTTCACAGAAGCCTCTCATGAAGTGGACACACTGTAGAGCATATCCAAGCCGGAGAGCACACGGCAGGAAGCCTTCTGACGGGCTGCCCCCCCCCCCATCTTCACGATCCCCCCGCTGAAGAAAATGACACACTCACAGAGCACTGTTGGAGACCTGGGGCCACCTTTCCTTTTAGTGTTTAGTATATGTTCACTGGTAAGAAACCAACTGTCTTTGAGCTCCTAGATGTGTTTTGGTTTTGTGAAACAGGTCTCGTGGCTTTATACTTTAGCCCAAGCTGGTTCGGAACCAGATATGTAACCTAGACTGATTTCAACTTCCTGAGTTCTAGCATTACAGATATGGGTCACCACACCCAACTGTATACAGTAAAAAAGAAAAAGACATTTTTACATTTATTTATATAGTGTATGTACTCAAGCAGGCATGAGCATACCAAGGCCAGCATCCACAGTGTGGGTCCCAAGTCATCAGATTTATTTTTATCTATTGAGCTATCTTGCTGGACCCTATTTCTAACTTTACATATTTAAAAGAATAAAAGGAATTTGGTTTTGTTTTTAGTTTTGTTTTTTGAGACAGGGTTTCTCTGTAATGTTTTGGAGACTGGCCTGGAACTCACAGAGATCCCCCTGCCTCTGCCTTCCTAGTGTTGGGATTAAAGGTGTGCGCCACCAATGCCCGGCTATGATTGGCAATTTTTTTTGTTTTTTGTTTTTTTTTTGTTTTTTGTTTTTTTTTTTTGGTTTTTCGAGACAGGGTTTCTCTGTGGCTTTGGAGGCTGTCCTGGAACTAGCTCTTGTAGACCAGGCTGGCCTCGAACTCACAGAGATCCGCCTGCCTCTGCCTCCCGAGTGCTGGGATTAAAGGCGTGCGCCACCATCGCACGCAAATTTTAAATTTATAAGTTGTGGCATAGGCCATTGTTCCAGCTATCTATGAGTCTGAGATCAGAGGAGTCCCAAAAACTTGAGGCCAGCCTGCTGCTACATACTGATTTCAAGGCCATCATCATTGGGTAATTGAGACTCTGTCTCAGAAACAAAACAAAAAAGGCTGGGAATGTTGCTCAATAGTGCTTACCTAACATTCACAAGTGGGTTCAATCCCCAGCAACACAAAAAAAAATGCATTTTTGCTGGGTGATGTGTTGTATACAACTGTACTTCTACCAGTAGAGGCAGGAGGACCCACAGGTGCTAGGACCAATTGGGCTATATTATAAAACCCTTTATTTGCTTGTTTGTTTGTTTGAGGAAGTGTCTCACTATAGTGTTGGCTGGCCTGAAACTGGCTATGTAGACCAGGCTAACCCTCCAAGCAAAGGGATTAAGTGCATTTGCCACTACATCCACTAAGACCCTGCCTTTAAAAACAAAAAATAGGGGTTTTTTTTTCTACTGTGTTAAAGATGTGACAATATATCCTAATGTAGTAAAATGATTGTACTGGGTTTTAAGTTTTAACTTTGTTTACTGTCACTTCCTATTATAACATCTATTGGTCAAATCCCCAATCTATGATATAATGACAACAGCTCCTGCTCATGTTTTCAGTGTTGACTTGGCTGATTGGCAATAGCAAGGTCTATTTGTTGAAGGAAAACCCCATGGTTTTATAGTCTGCTTAGTATTAACTGACATTAAAAGACTGATAGAGCACTGTTGAGTATGGGCAGGGTTCTGGGTTCCATTCCCAAGGAGATGGAGGAAGAAAACAAATTGCTGCTCTTCCCAGAACCCAGGTTGGCTGCTCACAACATGCTGTAATTAATTACAGCTCCAGGGGATCCAACTCCCTCTTCAGGCTTCAGTGGGCACCTGCATATAGGTGTCATAAACACAGAGACATGTAAGTAAAGATAATTT